AAGAAGAAAGAAGAAAAAAGAAAGAAGAAAAAAGGAACTAAATCATGTTTGTTTTTGGTTGCATTAATTAATTGGCTGACGCTCTGCAAATTTTTAACCTATAAAATGAAAATTGTTTCGCACCGGTCTATATAAGTGTGATTGGGACAGACGATAACAATTTTTTGTTTTCGAATTGGAGAAAAATAAAAAAAATTATTTATTTAACCCGCCTGCAGTTCGCACTGCGAGCCCTGATCCGAGAAGCATCCAAAAGTTAAAGAAATTTGATTTCGGTCAAAATTTAAAAGATTACGAATAGGCCCAAAATGATAACTAGGGAATGCTAAATCAGGATCAAGCCTTCTAGAGATTCTATTGAGTTCAGAGAGTGTTCTAAAAAGAAGATCGTAATTGTGATAATTTAATTATCTTTTGCTATAACGGATATTGAGAGCACAAAGTTCTCTGAGGAACATTAAATCTGATGTGCTCAGGCGCCTCTGGGCAGTCCATTAAGCCTTTGACTGGATAGAGCAACGAAGATCAAGGTATATGAGATTTATAAGCATACAGAGGGAAGTATAAGAAGTTAGGGGATCAGAGAAATGGTGCAAAACGGGTAAGCCTACGTCGGTAAGTTTCAAGTCGAGAGGTACACATTCCTCTAATAATAGTAAATTAGATTCCAAATTAAGCTAGTGTATAAAATTTTTCTTGTGTAGAGATCTTTGAAATTAACACCAAACCGCCATAAAAAAGCAAGGTAAATCCCGCATCAAACAACAACCAAGAACAAGAGATATTAAATCGACCTCAGCACATTTAAGCACTTCCAAGTTAAAAAATTTTATTCCTATAGCTCCAATTAGTTGACGCGGTCGCCATTTTTTCACACAACTAAAAATATAAAGAGCATCCCTCGTAGCAAATGTATATTATGAATTCGGAATACTTAAATACATTAAGACAATAAAAAACACTTAATTTCTGCCTACAAAAATTTAAATAAAACTCGTTCTTACACATCTGTGCCAGGCACAATTTTAATAAAAATTAATGGCCGCAAAAACAATTATGAATATATAAGTGGAATTTGATACTTAATACAGCCTATACATTTTACAGTCAGTTAACGCCTGAAAGTATAGAGCAACTCTTTAACCACACTATTAAAAAAATAGCGGCTAATAGTTGTTGGTTAATTATGAATTGAATAATACAACAAGATGATGTTGGCGCCGTGATAGAGCATTCGCCTGTTAAGTCAGGATCCGTTGGTTCGATCCCACCTATGAGAAGTCTGTTGAGGAGATGTGGTGATCTCCGAAACAGCTGTCACTCCTACCATTTTTTCTTTGTTGTATAACAAAATATTCAATTCATACAAACAAATCAGACCTTTAATTTGCATAATACTTATAACAAAAATTAATATATATACAAATATATCGAAAGAAATGATTTTGCAAAAAAAAAAAAAAACGAAATAACTGAAAAAATAGCTCCTGTTTTTATAAAAAAAATAAATTATGTACCAGTTCGTCATATGACCTACTTAATTTAACACACCTAGAAGGAAATTTATTGCTAACGCAAACTGAATTAGCATTTAGTAAATTTGTATGTATGTACAATATATAGAAATAATAATTTAATTATACTTGTATGTTTAACTGGTTTGATAAACCTGAACAATTGTCTTTATCTAAATATTTATATTAAATTATATGGCATAATTATTGAGATAGAGCGTTCCATATAATTTTAAATTGTGGCGTTTTAAACAATAATATATTACACACATAAAGTTTTATAGTGACACCAAAAACATCTATTTTCAGAAAAAATAAAAAAAAATCCACACTTAGATTTTTTTTGCTTGACTTGCAATAAAAACTTGGAATATTTGACTTTTGGAAGATCCCTTTTACGTTTCCAAAAAAAAAAATCTGCTATCAGTATGGCACTTAATGCTTTTACATTTAGGAAATGTTTAGATGGAAGACCACACCTCATTCGTGGTTCCCAGCACCACAACTTGCCGGAAGGAAATCCCAATGAGAGTCCAGCGAATGCGTTTTTAATGACATATGGACATCACGTTAGAGCCTTTTATGACATTATAAACTCATTTATTAATTCTTTATAATTTTATGATTTATGATTTCCAAGGCCTTAACAACCGAGCCGTGAGTTCTACTTTCTTCAGACTTGATAATCAAGCGAATCGAGTGGTTCTGGTAGTGAACGAGGGCAATACGAAATATCTGCTGTCATTAAAAAAACAGTCATCACTTTCGCAACTTGGCTCCCGATTCACTGTTGGCAGTCATAACTTTGAGGTCGGAGATAATTTCGTCTATTTTGGAATCAGTATTAACACCAATAATACTGTCAGCCTTGAAATTCAACGCAGAAATAGTCTTGCCAACAGGTGCTACTTTGGACTGAGTAGACAATTGAGAAGTCCTCTCTCGACGAACGAAAACCAAACTCTCAAACTCAAAGTCCCTCATCGTTCCCGTCCTGCTATATGGTGCGGAAGCATGGACGATGACAACATCTGATTAGTTCGCTCTAGGAGTCTTCGAGAGAAAGGTTTTACGAACGATTTATGGTTCTTTGCGCGTTGGCAACGGCGAATACCGCAGATGATGGAACTCTGAGCTGTACGAGTTATACGGTGACATTGATATAGTTCAGCGAATGAAGAGACAGCGGCTACGCTGGTAGGTCATGTTGTCCGAATGGATAAAAGCACTCCAGCTTTGAAAGTATTCGATGCAGTACCGGCTGGTGAAAGATGAGAAAGAGGAAGACCTCCACTCCGCTTGAAGGATTAGGTGGAGACCGACTTAGTTTCACTTGGTATTTCCAACTGACACCAGTGTAAAGAAGGGATGAAAGGCGCTCAGGTCCATATCCGGACGCAAGCAACATCCAAAAAAAGGAAAATTAATTAAATTAAATTTTCTAGTTGCGGTCGCTCCTCGGCAGGGATGGTCCACCCCTCCGAGTGTACTCCGGACATAAAATAAAGCTCCTCATAAAAAAAACCATCAGCCATTCGGAGGCGGCTTAGAACGAACTGTAGGTCTCTCCAATTGCTGGAAACCATCAAGATGCGTACCACAAATTGTAGCAGGAGCTCGTCCGAAAATCTCTTTAACGGGTTTTTTATTTGCGGTCAAAAACTTTTAATTTAATTCTCTTAATGAGTAAACCTGTAGCTGTTTTGTACAAGAAACGAATGCTATTGCTTTAAATAGTGATCTGCTTTGTGCTCAGGACCGCCCGGACAGTCGCTGGTTTATAGTAACCGGTCTTTGGAACTTTTCGTTTAACTCTCAGATGAACCCTTTAGTCGGTTAGTAGAGATATGGGTAACTATGGGTAAATTATAAAAATATTGCCTTAAAGAGAATTAAAGGATGGAAAGAGGTTCTCCCAACTATTTTTGATGACTCATTCATTAACTCGCACTCGGTGCCTAAGCCCACTTGACTTCGAATAAGAAACTGATGCTCAGAAACCTTCAAGAATCATTCGATAACATTGTTGACAGTTTTCTATATTTATCGATATTCAATTTCAGAAAAAAAATCAGATATTGAAAAAACGATATTGTACTGGTGTATGAAGCTTTTGTGTTTTCTGGGATAAACTTTGTTTACTTGAAAAGAAAAAACAGTAAATACAGGTAAAATTTTCCAACAATTATTCAAAAAAAATCAGCATATCGTCATATTCGCAGGCGTAAAAAGAAGGATATTTAATCATTTAGAGAGAGAGAGTCGACGGCGGGCAAAAGAAGTTTACCCGATTATTTCTGAAAACGCTTTAGAAAGTTCTGGACAAAGTTTAAAAAGCAAGGGGTAGACAGGGACTATTGGAATGAATTGCGTTAAATTGGTAGTTATGTTGCAACTACCCATCTTTCATATCTTCCATCCATAGCAACCTATCTTATAGAGCGCCATGTAAATACAAAGTAGTCAACGCTTGCCCATGCCGTTCCTGACGGTTGTCCCACAGAATCCAGCGGCGATTTAATTTTTTTCGTGAAACCGGTTCGGCTCATTTTTCGTTGCTACACAGGGTTGCCAGTATTGACTTTTTAAAAAAATATTAAACAAACTAAGAAAATGAATTCCTAATTAATTATTTATCACCTATAGATCATCTCTATTTGATTAACGTTTATATTCAAACATATAAATTATGAAATTCGTTGACGAAAATTATAAATTTGGTCAAAAGTATGCAAACACACTGGCAGCTGGCAACATTTCGCCGCTGTCAGTAGCATCGATAACTCGTGTATGCACGCTCTTCCATTCGGCTGTTATGGACGGAAGGTAAGTAAAGTGGGTAGTTGCAGCATTAGACATTTCCGCACGATGTGGGATTACAGCATTATTTACTTGTTTTCTAGCCCGCAAGGTGCAGTTTAAAGGACTGCTGTAGAGCAAATTTATACAAGTACTAAATACTCTATGCATGGATTTGAGGAAATATAGATAGGCAATGGAAATTGAATAGAACTTTGCTGTCGGAATTTCAAATCGACTGCAGGACGGTTGTAGAGATGTATTAATCTCACTTTTAAGATATCTGGCCTCGAGATTCAGAAAGCAGAAAGTAGTCTCAGATATCATACCAGAAATTATATTGAGCGCCATTTTGCACTAAAGGGGAACAATGGGTCTATGTATGCCGTATCAACTAGCGAGAGTCTTAAATCAAAGAAGAAAAATTATGTGCAAACATATTTCTTTTTTACAGTCATAAATTCAAAGATTCTGATCAATTTAGATGGCTACTGTACGGCAGACACACCCCATAAAACTCACACACAAAAATAATAACAATATATATAAAATTAAGTTACCGTTGCCTAATTAACTCTTCAAGGCAGAGAAGCAACCGGTTTAAACGCGATCAGCTGACTTTCTTTATAAACAAAAAAAAAAAAAAGAAAACAAAAAAAAAATAATAATAACGCAAATAAAATGTTCTTTCACCAAGCTCCTAGAGATTTTAGGCTCAATTTGTAAATAATCAAATAAATGCTTAACTAATCAAGTTTGGCTAAAATAAATAAGTATTTATGTACATATTAATTCTTTATATTAATAAATATTTATTTAATAAGAAAACAATAACAAGACGATTTCAGCTAATTGTTGCTAATCAGAAAGAGAAACTAATTTGTAAACAAAAAAATATATTTACAAAAAAGGAAGACAAGTTGAATGACAGACCTTGAGTAAGAGTGAACCTGGTTGGAGTTTTTGGCGTGCATTTTGTATAAAAGACTAAGAGTTGCATTGGACTGACATCAATTGTCTTCTAACTGTTACAGCAGTAGCCTCACTTTAAAATAGCAACAACGAAATGAAGGTAGGAACATTAATTTTATTATTTTATTTATTTTATTTATTTTATTTTTTCTATAACTGCTTTGCCTTATTTAATTTAATTCTTTAAACATATTTATAAGTATATTCAAAAATATTTTCTTTTCCAGTTCACCATTATATTCGCTCTCTTCCTTATGTTCGCCCTCGTGAACTGCAGCTCTTATGGCGGTCGCGGCGACGATCGTGGCCACGAGGATCGACATGATGATCGCAGAGGTGGTCAAAGTTCTGGCTACGGTGGTCAAAGTTCCGGCTACGGTGGTCAAAGTTCCGGCTACGGTGGTCATCAAAGTGGTGGTCGTGATGATCACTATGGTGGTGGTAGCCGCGGACACTACTAAAGTGACCTTGGGTTGTATTGAAAATTCGTTGATAAATTATAAAAATTGAAAACATGAAATTTTTAGTAAAAGTAAACGCTAAAATGAAGCAATAAAAATTTTGTGTTTTTTTATGGTAATTTTTTTTCCAGTGCAGCAAAAGAGTCTGTCTCCATCCTCACGATTTTGTACCTAGGTTGTTATTATTTTAATACGAATACATTGAGCTTGGCTGAAGGCATATAAACCTATTCATCTCTTATCCATAAAATTCATCAAACAAAGAAGAGAGTAAAAGCGCTAAAATATGGCTTGCAAAGGTAAATCGAATAGAGTTGGGTCTATCTACTCGCATCATACAGCTGAATATTTGATTAGCTCAGGTTTTAAAATGATCTAGATTTCGGCTCACAGCTACTTTCAACTGGTGGAAGCCTTTTGCAGAAATAGATGTCTAACCTATAGTTTCCGAAGAGAACTTTTCTACTAATTTTCATTGTTGTGGTAAACGCTAGCTATGCTTAATGTGGTTCGCTTTCTTGAAAATCTAAAAATTTTCTGTCGTATTAAACAATCATATGTAAGGATAACGCGACAGTCCGCGGCGGGTAAAACAAATAAATCATAAATATTCCAAAATTAATTTTTTCATATTCCAATTGCATTTTTATTCGGTTCCCACAACATTTGAGCTATAATTCTATCACAAGACATTAATCAATCCACACCTTACTTCTTCTTCAACAAAGTGGACACAAGTGGTGCGGAGTATGTTACTGGAGCTACAGGAGCTACAGCAGCGACGCGGGCAACTGGTGCGCTGTAGACAGCTGGAGCGGCAAGATGAGAGTAAGTCGAAACAACTGGAGCGGAGTAAGCAGCATGAGAGTAGGTGGCCACAGCGGGTGCAGCATAAGCGGAGTAAGCAGCGTAAGGAGCAGCAGCGTAAGTGGCGACGGACGGCAGAGCAGCAGCAGAGTAAGTCAAAGGAGCGACAATACCAGGATTAGCCTGAGCGACGGCGAAAAGGAGAGCCAAGCAGATGAGGAACTGTAAGAAAGGAAAAGAAATTCAAATGTTAACGACGTCATGAATATTATAAATATCTTTAATTTTTTTTGAGCAATTTTTTTAGCTTGAATGAACTCGTACTCTATGGTTGAGTAATTGTTACACTTACTTTCATTTTGTTAGAGTTTGTTGTTAATTGTCGACTGCTGTGAGTTAACTGATGTCAACTGTGTTTCGGCGAGCATAATTTATAGCAAAATTTTCAAAATCAAATAAAAAATGTTTTTTTGTATGTAAGAATAGAATTATGTATTGTAGTTATGTATTGAAAAGAATCAACCCACGCTACATAATTCATAATCGTTTATGTACTTTGAGTACATAGCAATCGCCGTAAGCACTTAGCAAATTATCGACGTACATACACACACACCAATAGATATTTATCAATTGACAATAGGAATTAATGTTCATTCGTTTTGATCAGCCTGTTCCGCTTCAGAGATATCATACATACATGAGTATTGTTGGCGTAGAGTGATATAGGAAAAAACGACGAAAATAAATTATTATATTATAAATATTAAAAAAAATAATTATTATTATGAATGAAAAATTAATAATCAATAATCCAAATTGAGCTTATAAGAAATAAATATTTTTTTATACATAAATATATATTTTTTGAGAGAAAAGAAATAATAAAATGTTCAATATATTTTTTTTTTTAGAAATTTAATGAATTAAAAGCAGTAAAATAAAAAAAAATAATTAAATATAATAAATATAATTAAGTAAATTAACACAAAATAAAGTTTTTAAATACATAGATATTGTACCGTGTAGAATATTTTTCCCTTTGTGCTTAAAACTTTCAGTATCTCTTCAAGTTAAATAATAAAGCAGGTCAATATATTCCTTAACTTAGAAGTTGAGAACTTTCATTGTCCAGAAATTCGAGAAACTCATCTATTGCGCGAAGTGAAATCCCATGTCTTAACGGGATTAGGTCTCACTTTTTATAGTCAAAATTTAATTTAGTTTATCCTCTGAACATTCATATTTTCAGAATTCTTTTTTGTGTTTAATTTAAAATATGAAATCTAAAAGAAATCTTCTTTACCAAAACCAAAAGCTACATATTGACAGAACTGCATTTAAAGTTGAATAAAAAAAAGCTTCAGTCAGATGTCGCTGTGCTCAAAAACTTCTTATTACTTGTAAATGGGCTAACTTCCTTCGCTTTATCTTTGGTTTGGTGTCCGCTTACGAGACTGCAGTCGAATTAACAACAGCGTTGCTGTAGGATCTGAAGTGTTTTCATCCATCCGAACACTCATTTCTTCATTTAAGGACCATAATTCTTCCGCAAACCTTTAGTAACGAAGTTTTCAAAATCCCCGTCCTATCATATGTCATCGTCCTTGCCACCGCACAATATAGGTTTTATTAGTGGAGAGAAGATTTTGCTTTTCAATTGCCAACTCATCCAAAGTAGTAGCCGTTGGCAAGACCGATTTTGCTTTGGACTTCTAGGCTGGCATTTTCGTTGGTGTTGATATTGTTTCTCAAATAGACGAAATGGCTTACAACTTCAAATTCCTAACAGCCAACTCAGACTTGGCGTCATAAAGGTTGCACCTTTTCAGGCTGTTTGAGGCGGATTGAAACCAAGAAATGGCTGGTGTGTGTTGATCAGGAACATTTTTAGATTTTCCAGGTTTGAAGCCAAATAAATATGATTAGTTTGCTGTTTAAAGGCTTCAGTTAATCACACAACACGCTCGTTAGGAGCTTACATGCCATATTGAGTAGGCTTATCTCGAAGTTCCAATCATATATCATCCGAGCTGATGTCTTGACTTTCGGCATTTAAATAGTCTTTAAGAGGGCAATTACTAATCGAATTACATTATAGTTGAGTGATGCTACGACCTTAGTTATCAATTGGGGTTTCGTGGTCGGCATTTCCGGATGCTTCGCTTTCACTGCAATTAACCTTGTTGAAGAAGTGCTCACAAGTCAAGGGTAAGTAAAGGTTTTCGGAACTCTTTTAAACGTTCGGTCTGCCGTTTTGCCATTAATAATTGGAAAAATTTGGCATAATTTTTACGCCATGAAAAAGGTGACTTTTTCCCTATTTTTCAGGTACTGTTCGTTGTCACTGAGATTTTGGTGATTAAAGTCAAAACCATCGTTGTGAATTCAAAAAAGGATATCTTTAAAATATAGGTAAGTAGGTTTTCAAACCCATACCGTAGTTAGATTTTTCCGAATAGGACAGTCCCTGATACACTCTCCGGAGCTTCCAATGAACTCAGTTTCAAGTAAATCGTACATAATTACGATTTTTCGATTAAGTCAGTCTATTGTACACTTCTCAAAAATTTTTTCGGAAAAAACTTCTTTCAGGAACCATAGAAACAATTTGAAAGAATCTCAAGTCAATTGAAGGGTGACTTTTTTAAATTCTCGGATCTTTAATAACGAATATAAGAAATGTCGGCTGTGGAATCCACTTTCGGTGCTCTATATAAATGTCGGCTGTGGAATCACTTTCGGTGCTCTATATAAATATATGAGCATGAGATTGCCAGATCACTGCAACGTCTTTCAAGAAGAAACAAAATCGGGAATGATATATTCCACCAGTCAAGTTACCATTATATCTCTTAAGTGTCACTATCCAGCTTAGAAATCTGCACGACACTAGTTCCTCTGGTAACACTTTATCGTCTGTCTCGCTGAACTAGCTTCAGTAAAACTTGGAAATTTCATTGTGTTCATGAGGCTAATGAAATAGTGCGAATCTTCAATAAGGGGAAGAAAGGAGTCTATGGGTCGAAGTGTGCGGGTTATGACCTGCCTGTTCCGCATTTACAGTTATGGTTTAAATGTATGTAGGTATGTGTTTGTAATATAAATCGAATATGAGGCATGCGGTTGTAAAAAAATCTGGGGCCAACTCAGCGAGGATTTCTAAGAAGTGTTTCCCAAGAATTTGTATTCGTTGATATGAAGTTGATAGAGAGAACTATAAGAAATAGATAGATCTGACTTCAGAATGATACTTTTTCCAAAATTTAACTATCTAACGTAAAATACAATCCTTAGTGGAGATCTTCCTCATCCAAAAGGTATGACAATAAATTTTTAAGAAGAAAGTATTTTTTTTTAACTTTTTTATCTTTTATTTCGTTGGTTAGCGGTCACAAATTTACTTCTTTTTCAACAAAGTTGAAACAACTGGTGCTGTATAGGTAACTGGAGCCACTGATGCAACTGGAGCTACTGCTGCATAACGAGCAACTGGTGCGCTGTAGACAGCTGGAGCAGCAAGATGAGAGTAAGCCGAGACAACTGGAGCGGAGTAAGCAGCATGAGAGTAGGTGGCCACAGCGGGTGCAGCATAAGCGGAGTAAGCGGCATAAGGAGCGGCAGCATAAGGCGCGGCAGCGTAGGTGGCGACGGAAGGCAGAGCAGCGGCGGAGTAAGTCAAAGGTGCCACAAAGCCAGGGTTAGCCTGAGCGACGGCGAAAAGGAGAGCCAAACAGATGAGGAACTGAAAAAGAAAACAAAAAAAAATTTATTAAAAAATTTTCTAAAATTTACATTAAATTACAAAATATGTATGTATTTTTGTTACACTTACTTTCATTTTGTTAGTGTATATTATTGATTGTCGACTGCTGCGAGTTAACTGATGCCAACTCTGATTCTGCGCGCATAATTTATAGTAAAATTTCAGCTCATTTGTATAACTTTGCAACTAGCATAAGTACATAAGTGTCAAGTACATATGTGCATACATATAATATAAGTTCTGTCTATGTACAAATACAAAAGGCGTTAATGTCGTTTGTTATGACCTGCCTGTTCCGCTTTGGGTCTTAATAATATCTCAGAGAAGAATTTCTTTAATTGTTCATTTCGAATGATACAGCCAAAAAATATACGCCTATAGATACATGTGCACATGTAAATATATATAAATAACAATTAAATAAAAAACAATTAATGAAAAAATAACTTTTGACAACTTTAATGATAAATCTTTAATAAGGCGTTACAAATATTTGTCAACAAATTACAAATATTTTACAGGGAAAACCCTCAGATATTTGAATGCTGGAAATTCCAAACTATTTTTAGATGACTTACTTATGCTTTAAATACAAAAGTTTTCTCTCTTGCTGTAAGTTTTATTTATTACACTTTGACCCAATTTCTTTTAACTCTCTTAAAGCTCTTTCAAAAACGTAAATTCTTTTTATTTGTTTTAAGATTATGAATTACTAAATGGAACAATTTCACTAAAATTGAAGAAAATTTGCTCTAACTTCAAGATATACATATATTTAGTACTAAAAGACCTGGCCAATTTTTCTTGTGTGGGAATTTTGTTCAATTTATATTATACTAGACTTTGTGAAGGCGTGTTTTTCATTGGATCTGGTTTTTACGTGAACCACATAAGTCGGATTGGCTCTACTGAAGCTTCCTCTTTCATTAGCCGTGTCCCAAGGCTCCACAAGGGTTGCCCACATTTCCAGGGTGCCCGACTTGGACATAGTAGGAAATGAGTATAGCCTCGCAACTGTAACAGCATACCCAGAAGCATGACTACACCCCATTACACCCCAGATCGATCATGTTCAGATAGACAGAAGACATGTTTCCAATGTTCTTGACGTACGTACACTCCGAGCAGCCAACATCGACTCAGAAAAAAAGGGATCGACACTCACCACATTGTTGTCAATTTGAAAGCCGCCCCCCTATGTCTGAATTTGGTATCCCCGCAAAACTTATACGGTTGTGTAAGCTGACGCTGGACAACACCAGAAGCGCAGTCAGAATTGGGAAGGACCTCTCCGAGCCGTTCGATACCAAACGAGTTTTCAGACAGGGTGTCTTTTTGTCGTGTGATTTCCTCCATTTGATGCTGGAGAGAATAATAAGAGCTGCAGAGCTGAATAGAGAAGGTATAATCTTCTATAAGAGTGTAACAAAGGTCATTATTGACAGTCATAACTTCATCTACTCTGATCTACGATTACTATCAAGAACGTTAAACATATAGGAATAATCTCCAACCACTATACATAGCTGTTGCAACACCGTGGTCAAATTTAAGACAAACTTCAGCCGCATTACACCATAATCATGACAATTTTCATTAATATGTGACATCCTACTATAAGTAAAGTATTTAATTTGTTAATCTTGAAAAAAAAAAAAAAACTACGAACGTACTGAATGAGAAGCAAATTGCTTCATCGTCGATTTCCAGCATTTGTTTGTCCAGATAAGAAGATAACTCTGCAGAAAAACTCAACAAAATCGAACTGCAAAAAAGTTTGTTTCAATAATATCGGATCAAACATCGATACTTCGTGAAATTTCAATTGAAACATTAGCTTAATTTTTTTTGAAATAGATCGGTTCCAGACCCATTTTCCACAAGCAAATTTATTCCGGGTAGTAATTTAGCCAAAAAGCTACCTTCATACTAAATTTCAAGCAAATCGAAACACCAATAACCAGATTTTTCGTATAGATCGGTTCCAGCTCTATTTTCCAGAAAAATGTGGTTCTAATCTTAATTTCAGCAATGAGACATCTGTGTGATTCAATTTATAAAAAAATATCTGGAATAAACTGTAGGTTTCTCTATATGCTGAAAAAATTAAAGGAGCTCAGCGGAATATCGTTTCAACGGCTGAGTCCCAATTACATGTAAGATGAACAGGAGTGACTTGAGTTCGCACTCGCAGCTTAAGTGAACAGTTCAAGAATTAGAAAAATCCATTGTTCTCTGATGTATTGAAGTAACGTTGCCGCTGGCATGACCTGAGAAGGACATGTGGAGTTTTCGGAACCTTCACAATCCTATACATATCTTAAGCTACTATAAAATGGTAATGAGTTCTAAGCTCAATTTCTCGATCTGAGCTCAGTACATTTTTAAATTCGAAATCTCATTGGAAAAGTGATAAATTGAAGAAGACACGCTTAGAAGTGCTCAGAATGGTCTGGTGCAACTTATCGCCAGAATTATTAATGTATTAATATCAGATATTCCCATTGACATCTTTTCTCTGAAACGTATTCTTTGTGATCTCATATGGACTGAGCTCCCTCTTGAATTCGTGGTGCACGTCTTGAAATTTTTCTATCAAATTCAGTAATCTACAGTTTCTTTCAAAGTCAGCACCCAGGTTGTAACATATTTTTTTGAGTTGAAGCTCTTGAGCTCTTACTTCATATCCGTAACATAAACAGCGTGGTTGATATTCCCTGCCGAGGGGCGACCTCAATTTCACTACTTTTTTCAATAGTTATGAATGTTGGTCTAGTCAGGGTTTCAAATGGTAAGATTTCGCCTGATGGCACAGAAATGTGTTCTAACTAATACCCCGCTCTCCTGGCGAGGTTGCGTGAGAGGAAATTAGCTGGAATGGAAAAACCAACCGCGCCCCTAGGAGAACTTCTATAATATCTATTCTTCGCAAAGAATCAAAAACAGAAAATTCACATTTTAACATTTTTTATTTTGGTTTTTGATATTTTTTTATTTTATTTCCGGCGATATAAAATATTTGTTAATAGTTTACTTCTTCTTCAACAAAGTCGACACAACTGGCGCGGTGTAGGCGACTGGAGCTACAGGCGCTACAGCAGCGACGCGGGCAACTGGTGCGCTGTAGACAGCTGGAGCGGCAAGATGAGAGTAAGTCGAGACAACTGGAGCGGAGTAAGCAGCGTGAGAGTAGGTGGCCACAGCGGGTGCAGCATAAGCGGAGTAAGCAGCATAAGGAGCGGCAGCATAAGCGGAGTAAGCGGCATAAGGAGCGGCAGCATAAGGCGCGGCAGCGTAGGTGGCGACGGAAGGCAGAGCAGCAGCGGAATAAGTCAAAGGTGCCACAAAGCCAGGGTTAGCCTGGGCGACGGCGAAGAAGAGAGCCAAACAGATGAGGAACTGTAAGTAAAGGATGTTGTTAAACTATTAATTTTTCTAACTTTTTATATCAGAGATGTAAACTTACTTTCATTTTTTTAGAATTTGTAGTTAATTGACTGCTGCGAGTTAACTGATGTCAACTGCAAGTTGTGTCTCATAATTTATACAAAAGTCACATAAAATTTCGTGCGCTATGAAAACCATATGAAGAAATTAAAATGATATGAAAAATGAAGTTTCGATTGCATTTCATACAAACCGACATATGTACATATTGTAGGCTAAAAAATTGTCTATGCCCGGTACTTGATCACTTATTAGCTGTCAATTTTTTTTATCTTACTGAGCCAATCAGCGCCAGACATTCTTTCGAGCTCAGTCAAATTATATTTTTTCCATACTTAGAATAATTTTTGTCAGATTATACATACGAAAATCATACATAAGTACTTATGTACATAAATATTTTCCATACATGTGTCGCGGATTTGAATACTTGAGGCTTGTCGGTCGCATGATGTCGCGGCGAATGCGGATATACTCGTATTTGAATGAAGAAAAAATTTGGAAATTCTGTATCAAATCACTTGCGGCGGTTTCTGTCTCCCAAATAAGAATAGTAGAACTGGTTTGATAATCCCTCAAACGTATCAAATGGCTATTACTTTTCTTGTTCTCGTTTAGGGCAATTGTTTGGCAGTATATACATACATATGTGTACATGCATAGAAATATATTTACGTACGAACATTCATATAAATAAATATAACGTTTTTTTCTACGCCTAAAGCACTAGAGTTACGCTTATCAAAATAATGACAAACAGAAATCACGGTTTGTTTGCGCAGGCGCATTGACAGCAAAGGTATTGTACATACATATAAAAGATTTTGTTTTCTACATACATACGTAAGTATGTGCGTGATATGTAATATAGATATACATTTTTTTCCTACTTTTATGTCTTGCACATAAAGCTTCGATTCTCTTTTGTATTGCATTTAAGAAAAGTGTGAATAAACCAAATGAATAAACAGGTAAATGACTTGTTAAATTTCTACGCTTTGTTGTTGTTATTATTTTTGTATAAACAAATTAATATGCGATTTAATTGATAAGTGACTTTGGAGTACTATCGAGCAGCTGATAGCCAATGAATTGCTTGAACTGCACGCGAGTTTTCAAGGGTAAAAGTGCCAATTATGTTTGTAAATATTTTCTTAAAAATTCAATATTTCGAGTTCAATACCGTCAAAAGAGTTTAGTTAAAAATTTCATACATTGAAAATATTACTCACGTGACAGTTTGTGACACATGCCTGAGGATGGGTTTTTGACTCAGATATCTCTCTTGGCTTGAGCTGGCCCACCAATCTCAGTCAATAAATGCAGCAGCGCCTCGTTCGAAAATATCCGACAACCTTCGAAAGTTGCCGACTGTTTGACTTGATATTTTGTCAAATTGTTACTATGGTTTCTGGAATTATATGCTTTTCGGGACGATCATGGATCCATTTACTTACTGTTCAATTTGCTTGAAGTTTTGCGAAAATTGTTTTCATAGGTCGATTTACTTGAAATTCCGTTCACAGATGGCTTTTTGTGAAAAATCTTTTTAATAATTATTTTTGATTGAATTTTTTTAAGGTAGAGGTTCGTTTTTTTGTAATGAGAGGTATGCACGGTTCGTTTTATTCAAATTTTTGGATAATATGCATAAATGGAATATTTTAGACCAGGAAAGAAATTCGATTTGCCAAAAATATTACTTCTTCTTTTTTTTCGGCTAAGATTGACAAAAATTATTATGATTTCGATATAAGCCTGGGTGGTGCTTAGATATTTTCACTTCTCATTTTTATTACTTTGCGCCTCGGGATTCAAGCGGATTCAAATGGAGCATGAGAAAAAATTTGACTTATTGGGTTGCCCAAAAAGTAATTGCGGATTTTTTAAAAGAAAGTAAATGCATTTTTAATAAAATTTAGAATGAACTTTAATCAAATATATAATTGCCATTTTGTTCGATAACCTTTTGCCATCTTCCTGGCAAATTTAGTATTCCACGCTCATAGAACTTCTGGCCTTTATCTGCAAAAAACTGAACCAAGTGCGATTTTATAGCTTCATCATTGCCGAAAGTTTTACCATTTAAGGAGTTCTGCAAAGATCGAAATAAATGGTAGTCTGATGGTGCAAGGTCAGGACTATATGGTGGATGCAACAAAAGTTCCCAGCCAAGCTCACTCAGTTTTTGGCGAGTGACCAAAGATGTGTGCGGTCTAGCGTTGTCCTGGTGGAATATGACACCTTTACGATGGACCAATTCAGGTCGCTTCTCCTTGATGACTGTATTCAATTTGCCCAATTGTTGACATTAAACATCCGAATTAATCGTTTGGTTCCTTGGAAGCAGCTCAAAATATACGACACAGTTCCAATCCCACCAAACAGACAGCATAATCTTATTTTGGTGGATATCAGCCTTTGAAGTGGTTTGAGCTGGTTCACCATGCTTGGACCATGATCGTTTTCGACTAACGTTGTTGTAAACAATCCATTTTTCATCTCCAGTTATGATTCGTTTTAAAAACGGATCGAATTCATTGCGTTTAAGGTGCATATCACAAGCGTTAATTCGGTGTGTTAAATGAATTTCTTTCAATGTTGTTATTAATCTGGAAAATGATACATCATTCGTTGTCTTTTCACGCCAGTTACTATGGGGAACGGCAAAAAGCAAATTCATCTGACTTCAGTACGGATGGGTGGCTGAGTGATCGAGCTATCCTCACTGCAATAAAATAAAATGCCCACGATTCCAACCAAACTTTTCAGTGCCATATTGAGTCACTTAAAATTCAGTAGACGCCATTGCGGAAGCAGTTAAATAATCAACAAGAATTTTGAATTCTTTGGACTTAGCGCATATATTAAATTTGTGCCCGCTATAATGCTACGCTGCGTACGACTCACAGTCAGAAAATTATAGAGGAACATTATAAAATTATAATTAATAATATTCTGACAAAAGTCAAAAATAAAAAAAAAATAAAAAAAAATAAAAATAATAATAATAATAATAATTTTTGATATCAAACTTTAAGCGATTTTCGTCCTAGTATTTTCTCCAATTATTTGGCGCTTGCCAAATTTTTTCCGAGCGCCTTTATAAGCGTTCCATTTTCTGTTAAACATCGTTTACTCTTTGAAGGAAATTTTAGTTAATCATCTGACCAACACTTGAGCCCGTGCATCTTCGAATAGTTGCAAAAACTACAAACAACTCTTATAATACCAAAGGCATTTAAAAAATAATGATTTCATGATAAAAAAAATTCTATAAGGTACTTTCACTTCGAAATTTTTGACCCTAAACGTGTTTGCTCAGAAATGTTTGATGTTGCCACCTATAAAATATTAAACGCGGAGATTTTTTAATTATTTTTGGTATTTGTGTTTGCAGATGCTATAAAATTGAATGCCCGCATGAATCCATTCAAAAACTTGTTTTAAACCGTTTTTCTTACGGTGCAGAAGTAAGAAGAGAATTTGCTAAATGCTTCTTATCATAAATAAAATGGAAAGAGTTGTAATTTTTTAGTTTTCCTTCGAAACTTAGACTTATAAGTTGACTCGACTATATGCGAAACGTCCGTGGTTTGGCTTTCAGGTCATAGGAACACCACTTTAGACTGTGTGACCGATGAGCTGACCGGATAGGGAACAATCATAACCCCACTCTGCAGATGAAGTTGGCATACCTCTTTCCTCGCTCATGTATTTGTTAAAACTAACCTTCACCAGAAGGCCCAATAGCGGATGACAGAGTGAAACCACGTGCAATTGATGGAAGTGAACAGAAACAAGTTTTTACTCCTTCTAAACATGACCTCTATAAGCATAACAACCAGCATGTTGACGGTATACGGTGTTGTGGGAATCCCTGGTAGACGGATGGGCTGTTTTTCAAGCAACTTTTTTGCTACTGTACAGCTCTCAGTGCTTTTCGTTATCGATTTCTCGGAAATTTCTTCTTCGATTGCTTATAAGAGCTTGTATCTATGAGCATCATTAACCTCCTTAACTTTGTAAGATACACCAAATGACTTGAGCATCTGGAAATGGGTATCATGACGAGATCTCGGTCCCCCATCCTTAACCTAACTATGATAGTTGATTAGAATTTTACAAATCAATATATTTAGCGATTCGATTGCATTCTCTTTCATTCATTCAATTCATTAATTTGAACTGCTCTAAGAACCAAAAATTATAACAATATCCTCTCTGCTTACAAAATTTCGTTGAAACATCTCTGAAATTGTGATACTGATTTGCAGTCAAACGTAGGTACAGCAAATCCAGTCAACTCTTATCTTCTTGAACTCGATTTGAATTCTGGTGGGCGAATCGCTTCCCTTCCTGATACTTTTTTACAATTTTCTAAGGTTGCAAGACAGCAATCATGAAAAGCAAAAGAGTTGCGATTTTTGAACGTTTAAACTTTAAAAAATATGATTCTGAAGAGCAGATAGAGGCGATGGATCAGAAAGAAGCAACCAACACCTGTTTAGTCTTCTTTATTCTTTTCGAATTTTGCTTTCTAGGGTGGGACTGTATAATTGGCGCTCTATATTCGCTCAACCAATATCACCAAAGTTCGACTTTCACTTTTGGCCTTCCTGTACTCACTCCCCTTTTCTTAAAATAAAATAAATATTTTTCTTTTAATATAACAGTTTATAAGAAGTCTTTATTCATGGATCCATTAGAGCGAGGCAAATATAATGAAATAAAAGTGGAAAAACAATAATTACAACAATAAAGTGTTATCTACTTCTTCTTCCACAGTGTCGAGATGACTGGAGATGCGTAGTGAACTGGAGCAACACGAGCAATGGGAGCAGCCACAACACGGGCAACTGGTACACTGTACACAACCGGGGCGGCAGCGTGCGAGTATGTGGCGACGGCTGGTGCAGCATATGCGCTATAGGAGGCATAGGGTGAAGCAGCGTAAGTGGCGACAGCGGGTAAGGCATGTGTGTAGGCGACAGGTGCCACATAACCAGGTTTGGCCTGGGCGACGGCGAAAAGAAGAGCCAAACAGATGAGGAACTGCAATTAAAGGTGCAAAAGTTATTTTTAAATTAAGGAAATGTTTTTGTTTTTAAATAAAAATGCGAAAAATTTGCTAACAAAAATTTTTGAATTTCTTACTTTCATGTTGTTGGTTTGTTTGGTTGGTTGGTTGATAGGCTGGTGGTTTTGTGGTTTGTTAACAGTTGGTACTGAACTGATGCCATTGACAGCTGAAGATGAACAATTTATAGTTATTTTGAAATGTTAAGAGTTCTTAAGGAAATCAATTCGAATTTGCAGAACAAAAAGTTTTATAGTTGCAAATAAACCGGTTTCAGCATTTTTACAAAAGACTGCGCTGCGCTGCGCTGCATACTTGTGCTAAGCGTCTACGCAGTTTCTTTTAGTCAAAAGCATAATATGAATGATTATACAATTTTTGTTGTTGTTGTTGTTTTTATATTTGCTTAAACACAGCTTATTAGTTATTGTTGTTGAAGGCAAGACAAGTGAGTGAAATACATTGTTTATTCGCCAATGTCTTTTCGAAGCTTTCGGCAAGCGTTATTGTGCTGCGCCAGCTTAGTAATGTCAAATATGAATTTATTTTATTAATATTTAAATTTTGTTTTTGCTAATATTATGGGTAGATTTAAAAATAGTTTTAGCTCGCGCTTTGTTGCAACCTAAACATGAAATGACAGATATAAATACAGATGTCAAATAATTTAATATTTTTTTTTGTAATTTTTTTGTTGTTTTAAAAAAACATTTTTGTAAGCGTAAACTGTGTAAAGTAACTTCCCGTAGGTTTTTTTGGCGAAGAAAAATCTACCATTTCAAAACTGACCAACTGACGCTTTTTCATATGATCTTGCTTTCGTGGATATTTCCTCCTTTACAGCCTGCCCTTGTATGCCTGCCCTGCCCTATGTATAATTGGCGCTTTCTAACCGCTGAAGCGATTTTTTTCCAACAAATAGAGGGACCTTGAGTTTATACTGATTCACCTCCGACTGGCTAATGGATTTTTTTATTTCATTTCATTTTCTCTAACTTTTGTATGTTGGTCGCACGGGAATTTGAGCCCGAGCCTTCCGAATGTCAGTACGCAATGCTAACCACTCGACCAACGCGGCTGAAGAAGAGATATACCCATCTGTTTGTATGCAAACTAAGCTCTTAGATTGTGGGATATTTCAATCGTTTTTGGTAGGAAAATTTATTTTAAAATTGTTTTGTTATAATAGTTTGTCGGCATAAGCTAGATCGGACCTTTATTAAATATAGGCCTCATCAAACCGACTTCTTCAGATATGATAGATTTAGAGATTTGAAGTACACAAAATCGCACAAACAAGACCCGGAATGTATGAAATTTCGTATTCTTCTCGCGTATCTAAAAATAAATATTTCCACCGAAAATCATCAAGATATGAGGATGAATACATCCGCAAGCCTCTTACAACCGATTTCTTCAGACAACTCGTATCAAACAGTGCTCTCTTGAGGAGGTAACGGCTTCTGAGCCATGAATTGTGCATTAACATCACCCAAAGGTGTCAGTTTTGTTAATCCTTTGCCTTCGAGAGGTGACTCTCAGTCATCACTTGGTTTGCTGCGGTAACTCGATACGCGCGACTAACGGGTTTCGTTTACTTTCTTCTACGCGGGTTCTTATACGACATTTCCACGACAGCTGCATCTCGGTAGTTGTTATCTCAAATTCCATACAAAGCAAAATTACAAAGAGCAACGTTTCAGAAATTATTATCTTAAAAATCTAAAGATTCATTTAATATTAAAATAAAAAGGTTTTGTGTGTTACGTTATGTATGTAATCATTTTAAGTTAGAGGTATGAAATTCTCCAAATACCATTTCCATTTCTCAAAAAGAGAGCTTCATCGTTGAAAATATTTTCTTTTGAAAATCGGGATCGGTTGCCATTTCACTTTGGGTTAACTCACCGAACGTGCGACGTGTTTAGTGGTCGATAGTGGATGGACACAATCCGGTCTTTTAACGATACTTTGCTTCACAGCAGCAATATCGTCTTCGGTGTACGGCTTTGATCGGTTACTCAATTTACCAACTCTGTTGAGCTGTCGCTATGCTGCTATGTCTGAATTTGACATCCCCATAAAATTTATAGGTCTTTGTAAGGTGGCCACTCCGAGCGATACCAAGAGAAATTTCACAGAAAGTTTGAGCTTCAGAACTATATATATAGAAGGTACAATCTTTTATAAGAGTTTGAAACTGCTAATAATTCTGCTTTTTTCAGGATGGTTAAAAAAGCAAAGCGTATGGATCTTGTAGTAAATGAGAGACAGCGGCTACACTGGCTGGGTAATGTGGGTAATGTAATAGTATCGGCAGTTGTAGAGGAGAATCTCCACTCCGTTAAAAATATCAGGTAGAGAAGGATCTGGTTTCACTTGGTATCACCAATTTGTGCCAAGTGGCGCGCGCTGCCTATGCCAGCAAAGAAGAATTTCTGAATGTATCGGATTCATATATAAACTTAAGCGCCAAGGCTTTTATTTTTAATTTGTGGAGGGTGCTAGACTCCTGATGTAATTTGGCTAACTGAAATTAGTCAAAAGATGTAAAGATCGCAAAAATAGGCATTGCGAGCTTGTCAAAGATATTTGAAAAAAAAAAATAAGAGATAGAAACAAGAGATTAAACTTTGATTAAATTTATTTATGTAATTGTTTGTTTTATAAGTGAGTAAATTCAAAACCTTAGACGGGGAGTTTCATGTAAGATAGTTTAAGCAAAGATCTATGTGAAGAAGTTTGACAATAGAGTTTAGCTGGACCTATCTCAGTTGGGATATTATTTTGTGAAAAACATTAAAAGCATCAGGCAAATTAAAAAAGAAAAAGAAATAAATAAATCCTACAACAACTTATAACCTATTCAATAAAATAAATCGAAAAAAAACTAATTTTTTACTTTAAAAGTTTACTCCTTCGCATTATCATTTATTCCAAGCAATTTCCTTTACATTATTTTAATTATAGTAAAAGATCACACCATTCTACTTCTTCTTCAACAAAGTGGATACAACTGGTGCGGTGTAGGTGACTGGAGCAACGGATGCAACTGGAGCTACAGCAGCGTAGCGGGCAACTGGTGCACTGTAGACAGCTGGAGCGGCAAGATGAGAGTAAGTCGAGACAACTGGAGCAGAGTAAGCAGCGTGAGAGTAGGTGGCCACAGCGGGTGCAGCATAAGCGGAGTAAGCGGCATAAGGAGCGGCAGCATAAGGCGCGGCAGCGTAGGTGGCGACGGAAGGCAGAGCAGCGGCGGAGTAAGTCAAAGGAGCCACAATACCAGGATTAGCCTGAGCGACGGTGAAGAGGAGAGCCAAGCAGATGAGGAACTGTAAGAAAGGAGGAGAGGAGATTAGAATTTAAATTTTTCTCTTAATTATTGTTGAATTTACTTACTTTCATTTTGGAATAGTTTGTTTGGTAATTGTCGACTGCTGCGAGTTAACTGATGTCAATTACAATTCATTGAACCATATTTATAGCAAAAATTTTGTAAGTAATTGACTTTTGTCGGTTGCCGCTTACACCTCAAGATTCAAATCTCAGGCAAAGATACGTTGTTCAGAATTTTTTTTTCATGAAATAAATGAAGTACAAGTATGGCTGTAGCAAAGGCAATGATGATAATTATGCTGTCATAGGTTTATACAAATATGTAAGTATGTACACACCCGTAAAAAGCCGCCATAATTTTCTTAACAATTCAAAATTGTATAATTGAACTTCAAACGTGTATTTTTGCTCTATATTTTGATGTCATTTTCCTTCTTTTTTTATTTTTAATATTTAATTTAACAAATTCTGAGATTTCAATCATTACGTACTGTAAGCTGTGTGGGTGTATGTGCTCATTTCGTTCGATTATCAATTGCTGTCAGTTTCGTCCAAAAATATTTGCTATAAATACGGTGCAATGAATGGTAATTGACATCAGTTAACTCGCAGCAGTCGACAATTACCAAACAAACTATTCCAAAATGAAAGTAAGTAAATTCAACAATTATTAAGAGAAAAATTTAAATTCTAATCTCCTCTCCTTTTTTCTTACAGTTCCTCATCTGCTTGGCTCTCCTTTTCGCCGTCGCTCAGGCTAATCCTGGTATTGTCGCTCCTTTGACTTACTCCGCCGCTGCTCTGCCGTCCGTCGCAACCTACGCTGCCGCTCCTTATGCCGCTTACTCTGCATATGCTGCCCCCGCTGTGGCCACCTACTCTCATGCTGCTTACTCCGCTCCAGTTGTTTCGACTTACTCTCATCTTGCCGCTCCAGCTGTCTTCAGCGCACCAGTTGCCCGCTACGCTGCTGTAGGTCCAGTTGCATCAGTTGCTCCAGTTACCTACACCGCACCACTTGTCTCCACTTTGTTGAAGAAGAAGTAAAAAGCTTAATTTTTTGTTAAGATAAAAAATATGGAAAAATTGTACTGAATAAAGGATTATGTAAAGGAACAAAATTGACTGTCGTTTTCGTAAATCCAAAAACTTAAATATTTTTAAGAGTGCTTTGATGGAGCCAAATCATCCGTCTGCGCATAATAAAATTGTAGAATCTCCATGGTAATTGATTGGCTATAAAGCTGCTACCATAAATTTTTATTATAGATCCCCATGGACTGCTGGCGGCCGCAAAAGCCGAGTGGTTTTCATTGTGTGCTGCTATTTTGATGGCCAGGATTCGAGTTTTGGTTCGACCAATTTCCGAAGTTATAGAAAATTCATTTTTCTAATGGCGGTCGTTCCTCAGCAGGTAATTTCGAGTCCCTTAGGGTGTACTTCTGACAAGAAATGAAAGCGAAAGATCCCCTATTTGTAGAGAAAACCTCAAGACGCGTCGCACAAATTGGAAGAAAAGCTTTGCCAAAAGTCAATTCGGCGGTTGCATATCATCAAACCAATATTCATCGCACGTCATATTAAGGTTCGTAGATATTTTCGTCTACATTACATTTCAGAGATACCAATGTACCATGGAAATCAGTTCTAAAATCGAGGAAAAGACGGTGTGTGTAGATAACTATTCAAATTATCCTTGTCATACAGCTTTCTCGCTCTCTTTTCGCTCCTATCTCCCCTCCGGCACGGCAATGCTCCTCCTACCAAGTGTTCTTAAGTGTTCAAAAAACGTTTGGATCTTAAGATGCTGCGCTACCTTTCTCTCATACCGAGGTACTGATGAGCTACACCATAGAGTAGGGGTGTAAATCCAGTAGAAAACCTATGCTGCTCTGAAGTGCATATGTACCTTTGCTATGGCAAGTCAGCGTTCGGGTTGGTGCTAGGTCTTTGGAACGTACGCACATTTGGGACACGGAGACATGTCTTTCGTCTATCACACCGTGGTTCATATGGCTACGTGATTCTATCCGGGGTCAGCAATGCAAATTGGTGAGCTTTCTTGTATCGAAATTTAGTATTATAGTAAACCATATTTCGGTCATGTCGAAGACGATCAGCCGCTACCAATTAACCGCCGACAGTTTTCTCTCTCGTCAAATCCGCGGTTAATTAAACAAGGACCCGCTTCATTTCTCATTGTCCCGTCTATCGCACTTCTTGTACGGTGGAGATGTTCTCTTTTAGACTTACAAGAACATAAACAAGATTGGCAATAACACTTTTCCCATTAAGGAAAGGGACATTCCAGCCGTATACTCTTAAATCGTGATCCTTAACATGTTTGTCTCTCATTTAAGGCTTAATTGTATATTTTTACATTGGACTATATATTTTATGTGGCAGGAGCTATATATTTCACTCCATTCAGATTGCCTTCAAACGGATATTTGTTGGCTACCAAAAGAACACTTAGTATAAGACCTCAAGTTGCGAGTTGTTTGAAGCAACTTATATTTTAATTTATTTTTTTATTTTACTTTATTTTAATTTACTTTGTTTTATTTAATTTTAAATAAATTTATTTAATTTTATTTAATTTTGTTTAATTTTATTTAATTTGTTTAATTTAATTTAATTTTATTTAATTTATTTTAATTTAATTTTAATTTTAATTTTAATTTTAATTTAATTTAATTTTATTTAATTTTATTTTATTTTATTTTATTTTATTTTATTTCATTTTATTTTATTTTATTTTATTTTATTTTATTTTATTTTATTTTATTTTATTTTATTTTATTTTATTTTATTTTATTTTATTTTATTTTATTTTATTTTATTTTATTTTATTTTATTTTATTTTATTTTATTTTATTTTATTTTATTTTATTTTATTTTATTTTATTTTATTTTATTTTATTTTATTTTATTTTATTTTATTTTATTTTATTTTATTTTATTTTATTTTATTTTATTTTATTTTATTTTATTTTATTTTATTTTATTTTATTTTATTTTATTTTATTTTATTTTATTTTATTTTATTTTATTTTATTTTATTTTATTTTATTTTATTTTATTTTATTTTATTTTATTTTATTTTATTTTATTTTATTTTATTTTATTTTATTTTATTTTATTTTATTTTATTTTATTTTATTTTATTTTATTTTATTTTATTTTATTTTATTTTATTTTATTTTATTTTATTTTATTTTATTTTATTTTATTTTATTTTATTTTATTTTATTTTATTTTATTTTATTTTATTTTATTTTATTTTATTTTATTTTATTTTATTTTATTTTATTTTATTTTATTTTATTTTATTTTATTTTATTTTATTTTATTTTATTTTATTTTATTTTATTTTAGTTTATTTAATTTTATTTTATTTTATTTTATATTATTTTTTTTTTGTGTATATATAAAACATATTTTAAGCTTTCGGAAGTGCGCAAAATTACTTGTCTGTGCTTAAGCAATTAAAATTGACATAATTAACCAAATTTTTAGTTCTTTTTATGAATATGAGTACATTGTTGGTGACAAACGTAATATAAATGCCATTTAAACATAATTGGAAACATTGAATCAAACAGGTTACCAGTACATAACATTAGTATGTACGAGTATGTACTTTTGACTGAGTGATAAATTGAACTCCTAATTACAGTAGCAGGAAATAAACATTGGTGTTAATGAGCCATTACCGCTTTGCAGAGCTTTAATTGTCATAAAGAATTCTAAGAAATATTGCTTAACAATATTAAAAATTGTTTATGTCAATCAAATAATTGCAAAATTGTAGGTGGATTCTGACTATTATTTTTTACCTCAAACCTGAGCTATAAATACTTTTCCAAACGTTGTAATCGATATCAGTTAACGGACATTTGTTAAACAGCAATAAGCTCCCTAGAACACCGCAAAAGCTTCAAAATGAAAGTAAGTGCTAAGGATTCCGAATATCCTTTGAAGTCATAATATTGAAATAATACTTATATATCCTTTATCAAAATTCCAGTTCCTCATCTGCTTGGCTCTTCTCTTCGCCGTCGCTCAGGCCAACCCTGGTTTTGTGGCTCCTTTGACATACTCAGCTGTACCCGCCGTTGCCACATATGCTGCTTCTCCATACGCTTACCGTGCTTATGCTGCTCCAGCTGTCTACAGTGCTCCAGTTGCCCGTGTTGCCGCAGTGGCTCCGGTAGCTCGTGTGGCTGCTGTCGCTCCCGTTGCCTACACAGCACCAATTGTTTCAACCCTCTGGAAGAAATAAGCTTCCAATCTAATTGAATCTAATTGAAAAAATCCATAAAATTGTTGAAGGACCTGAATATAAATAAATAGATAATTAAGAGTTAAATTTGAAAGAAGATATGATTTTTATTCTACCAATGACAAATGGTTGTTCAGTTGCTCTCTTTGATCGACAGCTTAAACTATCCAAAACAATTGAATTTCACATTGTACCTCTGTAGTTGTAATAAGATGGGAACCGGACATTTACGGATCAATTCAGTAAATAGTTAAGTCCATTAATATAAGCTAAATTGATTGGCTCCAAAGAGCACCGATCCTTTTCCTACTCAGACATGCAATTATTTCCCTCAAGCGAGGCTTTCGAAGCTCTACAGATCGAATGTTGCAAATCAATTGATGGATGGGAGTTTTCATACCTCCTCATATGACTCGTGTGCGTGCTGATTCCTTGAATATAATTAAATTAAGTAAAGCCCCTCTAATATCTTTACTCGCGCTGTCAGACGACTAAGAAGCCTACTCTTTTAACGTCTTTATTAGTTGGAATCCGATATCCCGTGCGATTAAGCTAAAATTTTGAATGTAACAATTCAATATTATTTGAAAAGGCAAAAGACTTTAAAGGTTGTGCCCGAGATCTCTTCTGGAGCTTTTTACTTTTTTTTTTTATGCAGGCTAACTTTGTGGCGATGGCATATGAAAAGCACACGTGGAGTTTATTTTAAAAAAGTGATGAATGGATTTGATTTGTGGAGAGACGAAAGATTGCTTTCAAAGGAGTCGCTTAAAATCTTATGCCTCTGTCTTTCTGAATGATTCTAGATTGAAGGCATGAAGGTATTGCGGTGATTCGAATACTGAACAGCACGAGTCGAGGTGTGACGATATAGCCCTAATAGTAGCGGGAGTACATTCCAAAGCCTGAAGTGTTGTACTTCAGTGCTCGGCATACATTGTGAGAAACTAGTGAATGGTTAGTGGATTGGGTGTTATGCCAGCAAATGCAGAAATTATCTTTTTACCAGGAGACACAAACCACCACCTTCAAAGTCAGCCCTACTAAAGGGTATGGAAACCACTCCCTCTACCAAAGTCAAATTCCTCGGGACAGTATTTGGAAGAACTTAACGACACCACCTCCAACTTCTGCTCTGACAATCTCTTTTCCACAAATATACTGTACAGCAATTAATAACCAAGCGACTCAAGTTCTCTGGAAAATACTTTGATCGGGCTTCAGGATACACTGGCAAGCTCGTGGCTTTTATAAAGCACATAAAATGGTTATAGGAAGCCCACAGCGGAATCACGATTAGTCTATAGGCCCGATTTCATTGATCTTTGACCAACATGTTCAACTAAAATGTGGACGTCTCCGTACGCCGATGGATTTTTATGAGAAGTTTTTATTTCATGACAGAAATACACTCAAGGGGTTCGCCATTCCCTGCTGAGAAGCGACTGCCATAAGAGAAATTTGTTTTTATTGTTTTGATGTTGTTCAAAGCAGGATTCGAGCCCTGATCTTCCGAATGGCATTACGCTATGCCAACCACTCGGCTGTTGTGGTCGCCAAGAAAAGCTTTTCATAAAAATCCGAGAGCAGTTCGGAGGGTGCTTGAGGGATGTCGATCGGAGATCGCGTCAACGGTAGCAGGGTGCCAATTATAAGTGAAACAAGAAAGGATATTGAAAATTCTGTATTTATTTGGTAGTTTTTTAAAAAAAGAATCTGAGTACGTGAGTTCTTAAATTATATCTCTTCTTCTTCTTGGTTGCCTATTCAAACTGGTTATACACTTTTCAGAAAGATTTACAACCAGTTTAATGCTTTAGAGAGTCTTCAACCTAACACTTGACTGCTCTGCAGTGCATTACTTGAGGTTTCAAGCAATTGAAGACATTTAGAATTGAGATTTGACCGCACTGCGGCAGGTAAAAAGCCTCTTTTGTTGGTGCTAAAACCTACGCAGGCCGTTTGAATTACCAACGGCAGCGAAGAATCAGTCCGTTGTCTTTACCAATTACTCGGTTCCCAGACTTGATGTGCATATCCACCGACTGCCGGTTGCCTCAAAGTTTGTACATTTATTTGTCTGCCATTAACAACTGCGGCTCCGCCAAACTGTGGTCTGTTTATTTGCTGAAACTGTTGTCCAGTAAATTGTTGAAGCTGTTGTACCTGTCCGAAAGTTTGTACTCCCACTCCTCGAAACTGTGGTCTATTCAAGTGTTGTATCCGCTGTGCAGCGTTACTTTGCTGGAACTGTCGTCCGTTAAATTGCTGATACTGCCGCACTTGGGCGAATGGTTGTACCCTTAGCTGCTGTGGCTGCGGTCCGCCCACCCTTTGAGCTTGCTGTCCGCCATTACGTTGAAGTTTTTGACCTCTCTGTAGTTGCTGTTGTTGCGGTGGTTGCTGCTGCTGTTGTTGTTGTTGTTGTGGAGGTGGCGGCGTAACTACGCGGAATCGCGGCGGGAACTGCACTCCCCTTACTTGCTGTCGCGGTTGTGCACCAGGTCGTTGCGGTTGTTGTCCACCAGCCGTCTGTCGAGTCACCACCTGTCTGCCTTGTGCATCCCGTGTCGCCGGCAGAGGTGTAGCCAAATCAATGGTTGTGCCTATCAAACCAATTCGTCCATTAAGATTTACCGGTATCTGGTGTACTTTCAGTGCGGGATAGAAAATCGGCTGTTGTTGGGCACTAGCGAGCGCCAAGAGGGCAGTAATTAGTGCGCCTAAGATTTGTACGGACTAAAAATTTAAATAATTATTAATTTAAATAAACTCCAAGTTGAGCCGGAGCTTACCTGCATTGCGCTGCAATTTGTTTCCGATCGGTCTGAGGGTTCAATGAGTTTTACTCGAGCTGGCGTGGAATCGAGTATATTTATAAGTACACCTCGCACTCACCTGTGCACCTCACCTCGTGCTCCGCTTCGGACAGCACGTGCCGTTATGCTATATTTTTAGTTTCCTTTTCCGTTTTACTAATTAGCTGTCGCATTACGTACATATTTCATCTCTTCGCGTAAGCTTCGTTGACTGAGTGCCAAAGTGCCAATAAATTCAGACACCTGTTTACGGGGTGTGATAAACTCGCCAGCTCAATCAACTGATGATGCGCAAAGGGCAAGGCACACTCATACATATATATTCGTACTCGTTTGGAAATACATATGAAAATATCAAATGAAGCCGCTTGCAGCTCATCGGATATGCATAACTTGATTAGCAAATTTTAATATATCCACAGAGGCATTGGCAGGCGGCGAATGATTTTTTTTTAAGAAGCTTCAATAACTTATTTCGAAATATACAGCATTACTGCGAAGTAGAAAGGTGCACTGCAATACCAATATTGAAATGGTCACGCCTTTCGCTAGGGAGTTGAAGTGTTATTGAGGAATGCTGCCTTTCTTTCAGACAGTTGCGATTTATTTTAAAAACGGCCGATGAATAATCAGTGGTGACGTCGGAGATAACTATAGACATACATACAAGGTGTGTTCAAAAAGTAACGATAATTTTAAATATTTTAATGAAATATTTATTCATTCGTCTGCATCGACATCGTCGTCATCAACACTATCCTCATTAGAAATTATGCACTTGGGTTGACATTTCGTCCAATCCAAGAAACACTTCTCAGGCTTAATCTTTCAGTTCGTCATTAGTTCCTTTAGCTATGGGCTTTTAGTGCCATCTAAGGCTTTAAAACGACAGCGCTTTGCTATTTTCTTTATTTTTTGGAAATGAGAAGAAGTTACTCAGAGCGATGTCTGTTGAATCTAGAGACTCGGAACTTGTTCGAGAACAAGAAATGAAGTGTTAGTAGTTACATTATCGCGATGAGAAAGCTTTGAATAGTTTTACACGGGCATGTATAACAAAGAACCCCAAATTCTCGTACTTTGGCCTAAGGCCCATATAAAGTAATCTGGGTCCAATCCCTGTGAGCTTAACCTGTGTCTATACGTTGCTTAACTATTTCGGATCTCTTTGAACTGCACTATATACTATATATACATTCTATAAAAATATTCCTTTTAACTAAAACGAAAACCGGGCATATGATTGGTCTGAATATCAATAGTTTTTGAGCCGAGTAGTGAATGTGATAACTACAATGCATGCGCCGATGATATCGGCAAGACGAAATATCTTCGGTCATCAAACAAACATAGGACGAACTCGCAACTTGGCTTCCACGTCCCTGTTGATAGTCATTGATTCCAACAACAATATCAGTTTTGAAATTCAACGTAGATTCACTCTTGCCAGCAGGTACTACTCTCGATGAGCAAATACCAAACTTTACAAGTACCTCATCATAAACGTGCCCCTCCATTGTAGACTATGTCGACATCTGATGAGTTGGTCTTGGGAGTTTTGCGAGAGAAAAGTTTTGCGATAGATTTATGCTGCATTGCGCATTGTCAGCAGCGGATGTCGCAGACGATGGAACGATGAGCTGTGCGAGATATACAACGAGATTGACATAGATCAATGAATGAATAATGTGGTCTTGCAGAATACTCCAGCTAAGAATGCCATACGAGTTAAAGGTGATGAATGATCGGGCATTCTGACCAACAGGAGTTCAAATATATACTAAGGAGCTGAATTCTAGGGTAAAATTAAGGTGCTGTATTCGCTGGCGGAGTTAATCGACGATTTTCGAGCCCTAATTTTTTAATATCATTGACGTGTTGCACATCAGTTGACGTGCCGAGCGTTCCAAGTCATCAATTCGTTTCCGACCCTTTTTATTTCTATAATCGTATAATGGTCAACATTATCTGTTATAACCAAATCGCTTTGGGTCGCTATATGTCGCAAGTCACTACTTGGCGACGTCTAAAGGTTCGGAGCTGATTAGCAAAGCTTACAACCATTATAACGAATAATACACATATTGAAGCTTAATTAGTTAGTATCTAAACCAATTAACAAACATGTTAATTTTAAGCCTAATTTCTCATAATTAAATGTGAACCCTACGAGAGCGCTTCTTTGAGTGTATTTAATAAAAAAACGTATTTATTCTTTTGAGTCACCCTGTTAATGAGTTGTCTTCGCTAAGTTT